GGCAGGAGACTCGCTTGAGCCCAGGAGTTGGAGGTTGCTGTGAGCTGTAATGCCATGGCACTCTACCCAGGGGGATAGCTTGAGGCTCCGTCTCAAAAACAAAAAGAATTACCCAAGCAACCATTAATACCTTAGAAATAAATTTATTTCATTTCATTTTATTTATTTTTAAGATAGGTTCTCGTTGTGTCTGCCAGGGTAGAGTACAGTGGCATGATCATACTTCACTACAGCCTCGAACTCCTTGGCTTAAGTGATTCTCCCACCTCAGCCTCCTGAGTAGCTGGGACTGTAGGCATATGCCACCATGCCTGGCTAATTTTTTTGTAGAGATAGGGTCTCACTATGTTGCCAAAGCTGGTCTTGAACTCCTGAGCTCGAGCTATCTTCTATCTTGGCCTGCTGAAATGCTGGGCTTACAGGCAGGAGCCATAGTGCCCAGCCTTATCCATTCATTTAAAATTAGCTTTTAAAAAATTGATAAAGCTAGTATATACTAGCATATATTCATGGTTTTTAAAATTAAGTCCTTATCTAAGGACAAAAAACAGCCTCCTCCCTCCCCATCTCCCTTAAATAATCTTCTGAATTCTTACAAAGAATTTCTATGCATCTACACATACACACACACATACTTACATACTTCATTTTTTTCTTGCCAATGCAAAATTGTTATTTTCTGAATCACACTATGCTGCATCTGACATTTTTCACTTTAGAACTTCTCTTGGAGATATTTCTATGTCACTATAGCTAGCTCCACTTTCTTTCTTTTATTTTTTGAGACAGAGTCTCACTTTGTTGCCCTCGGTAGAGTGCAGTAGCACTCACAGCAACCTCAAACTCTTGGATTCAAGTGATCCTCTTGCCTCAGCCTTCCAAGCAGCTGGGACGATAGGCACCTGCCACAATGCCCAGTTAGTTTTTAGAGACAGGCTGCTCTTGCTCAGGCAATCCACCTGCCTCAGCCTCCCAAAGTGCTAGGATTACCAGCATGAGCCACCACGATGGCCCTATTTTTTTTAATTACTGGCTAGCATTTGCTATTATATGGCTGGATTTTAGTTTGTTTGGCTGTTCCTCTCTTCATGTACATTTAGGTGGTTTTCATCCTCACAATCAATGCTACAAGTCCCTTGTCTACAGGATGTGCATCCGTTTAGGGTAGACTGGTGGAATGACTCGGTCCTTGGTCATGCTCTTTGTGTATCTTGTTGGAAACCTGACAGACTGCCTCTTTGTGTATCTCTACTAGAAATCTGGCAGACTGCCTTCTCAGAGGTGAACCTCAAGTGCTTCTGGGTGCCTATTTCACCATGAAAATGGAATAGGAAACATGGTTTTAATTTTTGATAACCTGATAGGCAAAAATATTTTAGTGCTTTGTTTTTGTTTTGTTTTGTTTTTGAGACAGAGCCTCAAGCTATCCCCCTGGGTAGAGTGCTGTGACATCACAGCTCACAGCAACCTCCAACTCCCGGGCTTAAGCGAGTCTCCTGCCTCCGCCTCCCGAGTAGCTAGGACTACAGGCACCCGCCACAGCACCAGGCTATTTTTTGGTTGCAGCCGTCATTGTTGTTTTGGCGGGCCTGGGCTGGATTCAAACCTGCCACCTTAGGTGTATGTGGCTGGTGCCTTAGCCACTTGAGCCACAGGCAGCTGAGCCGTTTTTGTTATTTTTAAAAACGATTATTACTGGCAAGGCGCAGTGGTTCATGCTTGTAAGCCTAGCAGTCTGGAAGGCCAAGGTGAGAGGATCCTTGAGCTCAGGAGTTCAAGACCAGCCTGAGCAAGAGTGAGATGCTATCTTTACTAAAAATAGAAAAACTAGGCTCTGCGCCTGTGGCTCAAGCGGCTAAGGCACCAGCCACATACACCTAAGGTGGCAGGTTCGAATCCAGCCTGGACCCGCCAAACAACAATAATGACTGCAACCAAAAAATAGCCGGGCGTTGTGGCGGGCGCCTGTGGTCCCAGCTACTTGGGAGGCGGAGGCAGGAGACTTGCTTGAGCCCAGGAGTTGGAGGTTGCTGTGAGCAGTGAAGCCATAGCACTCTACCCAGGGGGACAGCTTGAGGCTCTGTCTCAAAAAAAAAATAGAAAAACTAGCCTGGGTGTCATGGTGGTTGCCTGTAGTCCCAGGTACTGGAGAGGCTGAGGCAAGAGGATTGCTTCAGCTCAAGAGTTTGAGATTGCTGTGAGCTATGATGCTATGGCACTCTACCCAGAGGAATGGAGTGAAACTGTCTCAAAAAAAAAAAAAAAAAAAAAAAGATTACTACTGGCTCAGCATCTGTAGCTAAGCAGCTAAGGCACCAGCCACATGCACCAGAGCTGGAGTGTTTGAATCCAGCCTGGGTCTGCCAAACGACAATGACAACCACAACCAAAAAATAGCTAGGCATTGTGGCAAGAGAATCGCTTAAGCCCAGGAGTCGGAGGTTGCTGTGAGCTATGATGCTACAGCACTACCCAGGGTGACAGCTTGAGGCTCTGTCTCAAAAAATAAAATTATTATTAAAATTGAGTAACTTTTTATTTGAAAACTGAATTGCCTCTTTTGTGAATTGCCTACTTATGTTTTGCCCAGATTTCTATTGGGTAGGTCCTAGGATTTTTTTTCTATACTTTCAATATGTATGATTTATGAAGAAGTGATGTCTGCCAGGACTGTCCTCTTCTAGTTTCATTTGTTTATCTTTTAGCATACAAAACTTAAACATTTTCAAGTGGTCAAGTTAATCTTCTATACAATTCTTTAATTTTATATTTTAGGAAGTTTTCCCTACTCCAATACAAATATATTTTCTTATAGTTATTGCTGATTATTTTATAGTTAAAAAACAAAACGCATGGCCAGGCATGTACCTGTAACTCAAGTACTCTGGGAGCCCAAGGCAAGAGGATTGCTTGAGCTCAGGAGTTTAAGAACAGCCTGAGCAAGAGTGAGACCCCATCTCTACTAAAAATAGAAGAACTATCCAGGCATTTTGGCAGGCACCTGTAGTCCTAGCTAGCTACTCAGGAGGCTGCGGCAAGAGGATCACTTCAGCCCAAGAGTTTGAGGTTGCTGTGGGCAACCTGTGAGGGTGACAGTGTGAGACCCTGTCTCACAACCAAACCAAACCAAACAAACTGAAACACATGTAGGTGTTAAATTAGTCTAAAATTTGTTTGGGGGAGTGGAATGAAATAGAGTTCCAACATTATTTCCCCCCGCCCCCCCCAATAGATAGCCAGAGTTTTGGCAACCCTGAAATGTTACAATACGCTGCAGTTTCTGGAAAGCTATTTAAAATTATAGTGTTCTGGGATCCCACCCTTTGAAACTGTGCTTAAAAACTGTGGAGAAAACTTCAGAAGTTTATGTTCTGCTCCTCCAGTTTGCAGCCTTAATTCTAGTCCAGTCCCTCTCTGATTTGACAAACAGGGAGCTAGAGCTAAGAAAGGGGCAGTAATCCCCCATGGTGATTTTCTTCCTTCCCCCATTTCCCCTTTACTTTGTGGGGCTCCCAGGAGGCCTGAGGACCCAGGAAGCCCCATTTATTCAGTTCCCCCAGCTTCATACCCCAAGCCATGGCTGGGGGCTGAGCCAGCTGCAGTTGTGACCCCTGGAGTCAATGTGACCTTGAGATGTCGGGCACCTCAACTTGCCTGGAGGTTTGCACTTTTCAAGCCTGGAGAGATGGGCCCCCTACTCTTCCGGGATGTGTCCTCAGAACTGGCAGAGTTCTTCTTGGAGGAGGTGACTCCAGCCCAGGGAGGCAGTTACCGCTGCTGCTACCGGAGCCCAGACTGGAGGCCAGGTGTCTGGTCCCAGTCCAGTGATGACCTGGAACTGTTGGTGACAGGTGAGGTCCTGGGGCAGGGGAGGAGACAGGGCACGGGGTTGGTATAAGAGAAGGAAGGAAGAGAAGGGACAGAGAGAAACAGGGAGACAAAGAGACAGTGAGACAGACTGCAGGGCTGAGAGTATTTCACACAGATAGATTCACAGAGACAGGTGCTCAGGCAGAAGGGACAGAGAGGTGCAGGGAGGGAGGGACAGAGCTAGGGAGGCAGACAAATTTCATAGACACATGGGGAGAGAAGAAAGAGATACAGACAGGGACAGAGACAGGCTTATACAGTGACACAGAGGGAAAAAGAACGTGCAGATAGGGAGAGACTCCCAGGAAACAGGTGATTCTCAATGAGGGGCAGGTGCGCCCCCCAGGTGATCTCTGTCAATATATGGAAACATTTTTAGTTTTCACACCTGGGGAGGGAGTGCGACTGGTATCTAGTGGATGGGAACTTGCGATGGGGCTCAATGCCCTGCCACACACGGGACAATGGCCGCCCGTGATAAAGACTTCTCCAAAATGTCACCAGCTCTGAAGTTGAGAAACCTGGGGAAAGGCATAGAAACGGAATGGCAGGGTAAAAATCAGAAAGGCAACCAGCATCTGAGATCCTGGGGAGTGAAACACGACGGGAAGAGAGAAAATTTAGAGATAGAGAATTGAGCGAGGCACAGACCGAGGGCAAGAGGCGTGCGATCGGAGGGGGACATGCAGAGAAAGGCGTGTTTGGAGACAGAGACGCAGACGACATGGGGACGGAGGTGAACAGACGTAGAGAAGGCACAGAGAAACTGGGAGAGACCCTGGCTGAGACAGGACAGAGACGAGGAGACAGAGTGGGAGGCAGTGGCGGGAGGCAGAGAGGACCCGGATGGCGCGGCGGCGTCCAGCGCTCAAGGCCCCCCTGGGTCCCTCCGCGCAGACCAGCTGCCGCGGCCGTCGCTGGTGGCGCTGCCCGGGCCGGTGGTGGCGCGCGGTGCCAACGTGAGCCTGCGCTGCGCCGGCCGCGTGCGGGGCATGAGCTTTGCGCTGTACCGCGTGGGCGCGGCGGCCCCGCTGCAGTTCCAGGACTCAGCGCAGCGCTGGGCCGACTTCCCGTTGTCCGGCTCCCGCGCCCCCGGCATCTACAGCTGCTACTACCACACGCCCTCTGCACCCTATGTGCTGTCTCAGCGCAGCGAGCCGCTGGTCATCAGTGCGAAAGGTGAGCGGACTCTGCAGCCTGACCCCCAGCGTCCCGCTCGAACCCGGGGGTTCTGTCCCCAGCCCCCTCAGACACAGGGGTCCAGGCCCCCTTTTCCCCCGGACCCAGGGGTCCAAGTCCCCATCCCCTCCTCCCTCGGACCTGAGGGTCCAGCCCCAGCCCTCCCTCGAACCTAGGAGTTGAAGCCCTCCTCAACTTGCCCTCAACTTTGGGGAGTCCAGTTCCCAACTCCACCTGGGGAGTTGGGGACACGAGTGGCGAGGCTCAGACTTCAGGCCGGGACACTGACTGCCTCTCTGTCTCCGCCCGCAGACACTGATTCCTCGGACTACACCCTGGGGAACCTCGTCCGCCTGGGGCTGGCAGGCCTGATCCTCATTTTCCTGGGTGCTTTGGTCGCTTTCGATTGGCGCCGCCAGACCCAGGGCCCTTACAGTGTTGAGCCTTGAACCCTGGAGGCTGAGCGTAGAAAACCAGACACCTGCAACGGGGGAGGGGACATGAATTCCGGAAGAGAGGAGAAGGAAAAACTGGGATCCCTGAAGTTAGACTGTCCTTTCCCCAGCCCCACAGCCCTACTGGCTCAGCCCAGCTTAACCATCCATCCTTCAACCCTGTGCGGTGTGGGGAAGCCTGACTGAGTGAGAGGCGTGTATTTAAGGTTTCCAAGACGGAAGGCCTGGGTTCTGATCCCAGTGCTGCTGCGCTCCCTGGGACATTTGGGAAGCGTCCTTTCCCATGCCTTGGTTGCCTTGACTGTAACATGGATGCCCAGATAGTAATACCTTCTTCATAGAATGGTTGTAGGATTAAGTGGATAATATAAATAAGATGTTTAAAACAGTGACAGCCTGTAGAAAATGCTTAATAAATGTTAGCTACTGTGTAACACCAATTTTGTATTGTGTTTTTGTTTTGAGACAGAGTCTTACTCTGTTGCCCTGGGTCGAGTACCATGGCGTCGTCCTAGCTCACAGCAACCTCAAACTCTTGGGCTCAAGTGATCCCAGCCTCCTAAGTAGCTGGGACTACAGGCACCTGCCACAATGCTTGGTTGGTTTTTCTAGTTTTAGTAGAGATGGGATCTCTTGCTCAGGCTGATCTCCAACTCGTGAGCTCAAGGGTCCTCCAACCTGAGCCTCCCAGAGTGCTGGGGTTACAGGCATGAACCACTGCTCCCAGCAGGAATCAAACCCTGAATACCCAGTTAGTATCTGCAGGGAACTTTGGAATGGCTTGGTGTGGGGGGAGAAAACTCCATAAGCTGGTGTTCAAAGTATTGGGGGTGGAGAAATAGTTTTCCTTTACTTCCTCATCTCCCTGGAAGGCTGACATGAGACAGTTTGTCATTGCTTCCTGGGTTCTGATAAGGTGTGAAGCTTTGCACTCTGCCCATCAGATCAGAGCTGCAGAATATAAAAATGCTTAGCTGTAGTCTAGAAATGGGGGGACCTCAGAACTGGGGGGAGCCCACAGCCCTGGCAACAGCTGTTTGGCTGCTTTGTTTTATTGCTTTCCTTTTAGTGGGTTGGGGTTCTTAGGGAGCTGTGACTTCTTTTGCTCTCCTTGGAAGTAATAGTCGGCCTGGATTTTTTGTTTTTTGTTTGTTTGTTTTTTGTTTTTTTGAGACAGTCTCATTATGTCACCCTTGGTAGAGTGCTGTGGTGTCATAGCTCACAGCAACCTCCAATTCTTGGGCTCAAGTGATTCTCTTGCCTCAGCCTCCCAAGTAGCTGGGACTATAGGCACCTGCCACAACGCCTGGCTATTTTTTGTTGCAGTTGTCATTGTTGGTTAGCTGGCCCAGGCCAGGTTCAAACCCACCACCTTCGGTGTATGTGGCTGGCGCCATAATCACTGTGCTACAGGTGCCAAGCCTGGATTTTTTTTTTTTTTTTTTTTTGAGACTGAGTCTCACTCTGTTTCCCTCAAACTGCTGGGCTTCAGCTATCCTGCTGCCTCAGCCTCCTGAGTAGCTGGGACTACAGGCACCTACCACAACACCCAGCTAGTCTTTTTTCTGTTTTTAGTAGAGATGGGATTCTGGCTTTTGCTCAGATTGATCTCGAACTTCTAAGCTCAAGCCTCCACCCACCTAGGCCTCTCAGAGTCCTAAGAATACAGGCATGAGCCACCACGCCCAGCCTTAATAGTGACTCATTTTATCTTCCATTGTTGTGTCAGTCAACCCTGACTTTGGCTCATCTTGTGTGAGTGCAAGAGCTATGGTGTATGTCTGTATTATGCTGTTATCAACTAACATCCTACTAATCTATTTCCTGCTTCCTAACAGTGAAATTAAGCTTTACAAGCCTTCTTTGCACATTTAAGGCAGACTTAGAAAACTCTAGAGTTTAGCCTGAAAAATTGAAGTCTTTCTAATTAACCAAAAAGAGTTTAAGAAACAATTTAAGAAGGTGTTTTCTCTTCCTTACAGCTATAGGGAGGAAAAAGAATGGGGAGGGAGGAAAAAAAAATGGGAAAGGAGGAGAAAAAGACATTATTCAGTGCCATAAAATAAATTAAATAATGTAATTTGATAAGGTAATAAGCTGAGAAAATTCAAAGGACTATAAGTGTATTTTGTAGTCCTGTGTAGTACAGGGATGTATGGATTTTTATTACAGTTGCCAATGTGTTCTGTTCTCTGGTCCTATAAATCTGTTCTTTGAGGTATAATTTTCACCTTGTAGGAGTCCAAAGGCATTAGGAATTATTGCCAGCAATTCAATAATAATTTTCTAGGAGAAACTTTGTTGCCAATTGGTGGTTTTACTTGATATTTTGTTGCCTTAGTAACAATGTTATCAGTGACATCTGAATTCCACAGCAGAATAAATACTACATCAGTTCTGTTAAATCAGAGGCTGATAACTGGAATGTGTCTTGTTTCATTTTCTGTTGTTTAAAACAATACCTGAAAGTAGGTAATTTATAAAGAAAGGGAATTTCTTTCTCTCTCTCTCTTTTTTTTAGAGACAGAGTCTCGCTTTGTTGCCCTCGGTAGAGTGCTGTGGCATCACAACTCACAGCAACCTCCAGCTCTTGGGCTTAGGCAATTCTCCTGCCTCAGCCTCCTAAGCAGCTGGGACTCTAGGTACCTGCCACAACGTCCAGCTATTTTTTTGTTGCAGTTTGGCCAGGGCTGGGTTTGAACCCACCACCCTCAGTATATGGGGTTGGTGCCCTACTCACTGAGCCACAGGCACTGCCCAGGAATTTATTTCTTACAGATATAGATGCTGATGAGCCCATGTCTGGCAGGGACTTTCTGCAGAAAGAGGTGGCACAGGGCATCATATGGGAATGCCTCTTCTTAAAAAGCCACCTGTCCCTGGGGTGGCTGTGGCTCAGTGAGTAGGGTTCTAGCCCCATACACCAAGGGTGGTGGGTTCAAATCCAGCCCTGGCCCAGGCCAAATCTCAACAAAAAATAGCCAGGCATTATGGCAGGCGCCTATAGTCCTAGCTACTCCAGAGGCTGAGGCAAGAGAATCGCCTCCAGGCATCCTCAAACTACAGCCTGTGGCCCACATGCAGCCCGCTTAAGACATTTATCCGGCCCACTGGGTGTCTTTGCTGCAGCTGCCTGTCCTGCTTAGCAGCAGACTTGTCCCCAGGCCCCCAGTCCGGCCCTCCAACAGTCTGAGGGACAGTGAACTGGCCCCCTGTTTAAAAAGCTTGAGGACCCCTGGAAGCCCAAGAGCTGGAGGTTGCTGTGTGCTATGATGCCATGGCACTCTACCAAGGGTGACAAAGTGAGACTCTCTGAGGTCCCACTCCCTTATAACCTGTTAATCCATTAATTCATGAACAGATTAATGCATTAAAAGGGCACACTCTTATGCCCCAGTCACTTATTAAAGGCCCCTTTTCTTGATACCGCCACATTGTGGATTAAATTTCAATGTGCATTTGGAGGAGACAAATATTCAAACCATAATACCATATTAAGATGTTTTTCTTTCACATTTATGATGGGGGAAAAAAACCCAAACGCCTAAAACTCTGCTAGTCTTACTTTAATAAGACTTTGAGAATCTTGTTTCATTTTAGTTGCAGAATTAATTAATACTTATGATTTTGGATGTTGTGAATAATATGAGGAAAAGATATTAAAAAGACACAGTTACACAACTGATTAATTCATTGCTGTGGGGTCAATGCTGTTAAAGTATTTGAGGACATTCAAGGGAGTCCTTGCTAATAAATGATTTTTTTTTATTTTTTTGAGACAGTCTCACTATGTCACCCTGGGTAAAGTGCCATGGCTTCACAGCAACCTCAAACTCTTGGGCTTGAACGATTCTCTTGCCTCAGCCTCCCAAGCAGCTGGAACTACAGGCATGCACCACGACATCTGGCTAGTTTTATTTTATTTTATTTTCAGTATACACGGGGTCTCCCTCTTGCTTAGAGTGGTCTCAAACTCCTGAGCTCAAGCAATCCACCTGCCTCAGCCTCCCAGAGTGCTAGGATTATCGAGGTGAGCTACCATCTCTGTCCCAATGAAAGTATTATTAGGCTGGTTTCTGAGGGAACAGTAAAAAGTAGCCAAGCAAAATTAGGAGAAAAACTCCAGACACAGGAAACAGCATGTCATAGGGCCTGAGATGGGCAGGACATTGTATATTCCAATCTACTGGTTCTCAAATATTGCTATACATGAGAATTTCCCAGAAGTGGTTAAAATGTAGCACCCAGCCTTTATCCTAGATCCATTATAAAATTTAAACTCTCTGGGTGTGGGATTCAGGCATTTAGCAAATATACATATGCATTTTTTCCATCAAATATAAATGGACTAAGACACATGCCAATGAGCTCATATTAGACATGGGGTGGATTAAAGATGGCTCCCAATTCCTTGTCATTGTCCCTACAGAAAGGGAGAGTTTATTTTCTCTTTCTTTGAATCTGGCCTTCCCTTCTGACTATAGAAGAAGGGCCACTGTGCCAATTTCAGATTTAGCCTGTAAAGAGACTAATAGATTCTGGCTTCTCAATTTCAGAAAGTTTTCTTAGAACATCCCCTTTTTAAATCCAGATGCCATACTCTGAGAAGTCTAAACCAAATGGAGAGGCCATGTTTAGGCATACCAATCAATAGTCCTAACTAGCTCTTGGACAACATCTAGCATCACCTGCTTGCCATTTGAGTATACCATCTTGGAAATTCTGGCCCTGTTGAATCCCCATGACTGAAGCTCCAGAAGACATCATGTTGAGCAGAAGAACCACCTTGCTGATCCAAGTCAGTCCACAGAATCAGAAATAATTTTGAAAAATGATCATTACTTTGGGGGCTGGGCATGGTCGCTCACGTCTGTAATCCTAGCACTTTAGGAGATAGAGGTGGGAGGATTGCTTGAAGTCAGGAGTCTGAGACAAGACTGGGCAACATCACAAGACTCCTATCTCTACAAAACACATTAAAAAATAATGTGGTG